AGAGAATTTATTTTTGTCTTTGCGCAATTCTCGGGGATAATTTAGGACTTAACGAAATATTAGGATTTATTAAAGGATTCAACTCGAATTATCCTTGCAGAATATGTACCATTCACAAAGACAAACTTCACTCGCAATTATTTGTTGACCACTCTCTTCTCCGAAATTCTAAAAATTACATTGATGACGTTGAGACAAATAATGCAACAGAAACTGGAATTCATGAAATGTGTATGTTAAATAGAATTCCTAGTTACGTTGACCCAACTGAAAATCCTCATTTAGATATTATGCATGACGTTTTTGAAGGCGTTGCAAGATATGATATGGGTGAAATTATTTATTACATTGTAGTGGTTAAGAAATTCCTTAATCTTCTCACTTTAAACGAACGTATTCGAAGTTTTGATTATTCTTTAACAGATGATGGAAATGTTATCCCTACCATCTCGGAAGAAAACTTGCGCTCAAAAAATATAAAGTTATCTGCATCAGAAATGCTAACTCTTGTTAGAAATTTTGCTCTAATGGTCGGAGATTACATTCCTGAGGATGATCCCGTCTGGTGTTTTTTCTTAAGACTTAGGGAAATTGTTGATTTTATAACAGCTCCCTATGTTAACAAGGAAATGACAGAATATTTAAGGGTAATAATATCCGAGCACAATGAAATGTACATCTCGCAATTTGAGCAAACCCTTAAACCAAAATTTCACAACATGGAGCATATTCCTGACTTGCAACCGATACTTGGACCTTTGATTTTTATTGAATCTCGTCGTTGGGAGTCGAATCACAGACCTTTTAAACAAGCTGCTCATGTTTCTAATTCGAGAACTAATTTGCCATTGTCGTTGGCTACGCGATTTCAATTAAAACAATGCAGTAGATTTCTTGCAAACGAACCTTTATACATTGATCTTGTTTGTGGACCCATTTCGCGTAATAATGAGACACTTCATTCTGTTAAGGAATATTCTATGTTTAGAAATATCTTGCCGAATACATTAACGCAATCAAAAAGTACAGTAATAAACTGGGTTTTAATAAAAGGCACAAAGTACGAAACAAATGTCGCAATTGTATTGGGCTTCAAAAACGAACTCCCTCAATTTGGTTTAGTAAGATTTATTGTACTACAAGAAAATACTGTCTATTTTATTTTGTCGTTGATCAAAACAATAGGGTTTAATAATCATTTTTACTCATACGAATTGACAGATACGAAAAAATGGAAGTGTTGTCAATATAAAGATTTTTTTTATTATCTTCCACATAAGATAATAATAGCGCCCCGAAGTGGATCAAAAATGATAACACCTAAATTTAAATTTTAAATTTATGTACATGGTTATTTAAATAAATTTATAACTTGTAATCCATGTTGTATATTTTTTTATCATTTTTAGAGTTTAAAAAAAATAAAAGTTTAAAAATATATTGATGTATTTATTTATTTATAAAAAGTATTTACAATTAAAATTAAATTTAAAAGAAAAAAGATACTAATTTATTTTTTAGTAAAAATTAATGTAAAAATAAAATACAAAATATTGTGTGCAATTAATACTTAAAAAATACATAAAAAAATAAAATAAAATTCATAAAATTCATTCAGTTTCAAAAAACCACTTTTTTACATTAATTATTTAATTAACAAATTCTTCACTGCAAATTAAAGTTTTAATTTATAAAAACTTATTTCTGTTTAAATTAAAAACTGTCATAAATGTACTGTAATAAATTTATCAACAATGTTATGTGTTTAACATCTATTTTTTCTAGGGTTAGAATTTAATAATATTGCAATGAGAATTTAATATTTCAGCAATTTAACCTTTAAATTTTTTTAAATATATATTCACTTTAAATTAAATAATCCATAAGCCCTTTTTCACTTTTATACTGAGTACTTTATTTTAAAATTAACAAAAACTAAAAACATTTTAACAAACTGAAAATTTTTGGTAATTTATTGTATAGAAACTCAGCTCGTGTTTTCGCCGTCAATATTTTTTTTTCAAAAATGGTTCCTTTCACTATAAATTACATAATCCAAATAATAACAGGTAAATTAACCCATAAATTGCTTTTAACCAAGTAAAGAAGGTTGACATTTCTGAATTTGACGTAAGATTGAAACAAGATGAATAAATCTTATTTTGAAATTATTCCTCTCAAAATATAAGAGAGGAAAATCCTCTCAATTTGATATTAAAACTTTAGTGCCCATATATAAAAGGAAAAGTTGCTGCAAAAGAAGAGGAATCCTCTAAATTTGAGAACTTTTTTTTTTCGGTGTAGAGAATTTTACGTAAGTTTTTTTTTAACTAGTGGATACATCCGTTTACGAGACTGAGTTTCGTAAAATGTGGTGAATATTACGGATAAACTCTAGAGATGTTTAGTATTTCTACTAATCTTTTCTGTATTTTCACTAAACTTTTCTAGAATTTACTCATATAATATTCACCACATTTTACAGAATTCAGACTCGTAAACGGCTGTAACCGCTACTCCAGAAAAGTTGTCTAAAATATCTAAACTGAATTTATTTTTTCTCAGCAGTTTTTACAGATTTTTAAAAAGATTTTGACAAAAAAAAAAGAAAATTTTATTGAAAAATTTTTTGTTTGAAGCAATTTTCAAGCTGTTTAGGTGTCCTTAGGCTTATTTTTTCATTTTTTTTTGATATTTTTTCAAAAAATATCATGAAAAGTGAAAAAAATTTTATAAACAATAATTCGATTTTTTGAAAAAAAAATTTTTTTCTCAAAAAAGATCACATTTTTTTCTTTCTAAAAATTTTTATTTGAACTCTCCAAAAATTCATTTACTTCTATAAATTTTAACTGCAACTTTTTAAAATTTTTTTTAAAATTATTTTTAAAATTTGTCAATTATTTCTAAAAAATTTGAATTAAACTCTTCCAAATTCAATTACTTAAAAAATTAGAATTAAAATTTTTCTGCAATTCAATTATTTCACAAATTTTTATTTAAAATTATTTTTTTCTTCAATAATATTTTAATAAAATTAATCGAAAATTTAATTATTTAAAACATTTTCCGAAATTCTAAATTCGAAAACTTGAAAAATTTTCTTTTTTTTAATTTATTTATTTTATTTAAAAATTAAAAAAAGAAGCGACTTTTTTTGAGTTTTCTTGTAATAATGTAAATCGACTAAAACGACTTTTTTCTTCCTCTAAATTCGATCCGAAGCTTGAAAATGCCAAAAATTAAATTTATTTACTACTAGTTTATTATAAAAGGATTATACGATTTTTTGCGTCTTTTTTCGATTTATTTTAATAAAATTCGACTTTTTCTACTTTTTTTTTACATTTAAAAATTTTTTTTTACATAAAATCCTTTTTTAATATACTATGCAGATCTTCTTTATTTAAATATTCTTTAACAAATTTTTAACTAAAATTTTTCTCTATATTAATAATTTTTAATAATTTTAATGAAATTGTCCACAAATTCAATTATCTTGTTTATAATTTAATTTAATTGTTTATAATTTAAAAAAAATTAGCAAATAAAATTACCAAAAAATTTTAATTCAAAATTACTTGAAATTTAATTATTTGCAAAAATTTCAATTATTTTTAATGATTTGTATAATATTCTTCGAAAATTCAATTATCTGAAAGCATTTTTCAATTAAAAACTTTTGGAATTCAATTTTATTATGTGATTTCTTAATAAATTCTTAATTAATAGAAATCACTAAAAATTTCTTTTATTACTAATAATTTATTTCTTTGTATACCAATACATGGTTTTTACAAACTTCTCATTTCGTTAATTACAAGAAAATGTTTCACTCCTTATATTTTTTTCTACAATTTTAAAATTTCTTTTATTATCATTATTGTATGAAATTTAACACAATTTTTTGAAATTCAATTATTTTCAAAAATTTCAATTTAAAAGCTTCTAAGATTTAATTATTTCTTAAATTTTTTGAAATTTAATAATTTCAATTATAACTCTTATGAAATTCAATAATTTTTAATAATATTCTTCGAAAATTCAATTATCGAAAACCATTTTTCATTTAAAATGTTTTCAAATTGTTGTATTTTTTGTCTGCAATTTCTAATTAATTTTTTAGTAACAAAAATCACCAAAAAATTTTAATTAAAAATCACTTGAAGTTCAATTAATTTCAAAAATCTAAATTGTAAGAAAATTTTTTAAAATTCAATTACTTTTAAAAAATGTTATCTAAAATTATTTAAAAATTATTTGATAAATTATTTTTAGATTGTAAAATTTAATTATTGTCTGTAAAACTTGATTAAGTATTGTCTGAAATTTTTTTTACCCACAAAACTACAAACTATATGACAAAATTTTTAATTCGAATTAACAATTACAATTATTATTATAAAATTATTTACAATTTCTAAATAAATAAATAAATAAATAAATTGATTAAATTAGACTTCAAAAATTTATTAAAATGAAATTTTAAGAATTTTGTTAGAAATTTTTTCTACAATTAGTTCGATTCTGAAATATTCGAAATAAATTTTCTTGATAATATATATATATTCATTATAGAATTATTATCATTACAGAATTAATAAAATGAATGTAATATCTAATAATATTAGTTATTTAAATTAAAATATTTATTAACCAATTAAATTTCGTTAAAATAAAAGAAAAAATCGACTTTTTTTGTGCCTTAAAGTCGATTCGAGGCCTTTAAAAAGATATTTAAAATAATTTAATCTTGTACATTTAATATATTTTTGTCATTAAATTTATTAAAATAGTATACTTACATACCTGGAAAAAAAATTTTTTAACATGGAAAAGTCCTGGAATTTTATTTGGCAAAAGATCTAGACACTCTGTAAAAAAAAAGATTTTGTTTGGAAAATTGATTATTTTTTGTGACAATTTTGCATCTGATTTATAATTATTATTTTTGATATTAATATATATATATATATTTTGTTTTCTTTTTTTTTATTTAGAAATGAATCGACATCATTATGCGCTGTTCATTCGAAATTGCCGATTAATTCTTCTGCTACGTCGTGACTTCTCGGAGGGTGATCCAAATATATTTCGTCCAGCTGAATGGCGTTGGAAATTGGCACAGGTATGTGATGACAAATGGCATCATTTAGCAATTCAAGTTGATTTTCCAAAAGTAACACTCTTTGTGGACGGCGAAGAATGGCATACAAACGAAAAGAATCCCGAGATTATTGACGATTGGCCACTACATCCAGCTAAGGGAATCAATACAACATTGGTGGTTGGCGCTTGTTGGCAAGGCTCCGATAACAAGACAAAACATCATTTCCGTGGTTATTTAGCCGGTCTCTCAGTGTTGGTTGGCCGTAATGAAAAAGCCGAAGTGCTTTCTTGTTTGCGTCATTGTCAAGAGGGCATTCATGTGCCACCGGTTGATCTTTTACAACCTGGCATTGAACTATTGACAAATTCCGATATGACTGAGGTACGAATTAATGGCGATAATCGTACTAATGTTGAAATTCTCCTTCGTCGTATTGGCTATTCGAATACACGTCGTTTTCCAACGCCAGGTCGTCGCAATTTCCGTCTCGATACAATAATAAAATGTGAGGGCGCACCATCGAGACCATTGGTAATACCATCGATTCAATCGTATGTGACTGTTTTACCACCGCCACGTCCCGGTATCAGTGTCAATGGTACTGGTTATGTTGCACGTGAATACACTGATTTTCGTCAGGGTGTTCGCGTGTTTCCCGATGCAAAAGTAACTGCCGGCTCAGCAGCAAGGCTTGATGCATGTGCAGTGAGTGTTTATCCAAGTTTAAATCCAGATCATGAGACACTTGATTTACCAGGCGATGCATTGAGAAGATTTCATAATATTGCAGCGCGAATTGATCGCGATGGTGTTGTACTCTCGGGCGCTGATTCGCCAAGAAATTATCAACAATTGATACGTTTGATTGTCTATACAAATCGTAAGCCGGCTTATTATTTGGATAGAGTATTTAAATTAACGTGCTCTGAATTGAGTGATCGTTTTGCGAGTAATGAATATATACAAACATTGGCTGTAATTCATCCAAAGGAGAAGACAACTCTTGTGCCGCATTCAACGTCAAATGAACCGCCAATGGCAAAAATTGTTGAACCAGCACCGGGACATGCACAATTGTCACGACATCACGCCGATATTTCCGATGAATATTCAACGTCAACATTGCAACATGAGAATGGTAGGACAATTGTTGGTTCGGGTGGTAGTCATGCTGTGACAATTGTTGCAGCGGCTTGCATTGGATTTTTATTATTAATGGGCGTTGTTGGAGCGGCAAGAGTTCGTGGTGCTTCTAAACGAAGACGCACAGCTGGCGATGAACTCACTGCCGAGACGGAAATGGCTTGGGACGATTCGGGACTTGCAATCACTGTCAATCCAATGGATCGATTGAATGATGGCAATAATGGCCAGCAGGATCATCGCGAGGATGATATTGATGATTCGGGTAGTTCCGATTCAGATGAGGGCTCATTTCGCGATGACGATCTTGATACATCGGATTGTGAGAATGATTGTGAATTAAATGCAGGACGACATCATCGAGGTCATAATGCACCTCACGATCTTGAATGGGATCATCGTGTCGTCTAATGATGCGCAATTAAAAATCATCATTTATCAGTACGGTTTTAAGGAGAGTACTGACACTCAGCGCAATTTAATTTTTATTTTATTTTTTTTTTTTTTTAGTTTCATGATCTCATCAAACCGTTGAACACTCTCTTTCTTCTTCTTGGTCCCTAATTTTTTTATTTAAAAAAAAAAAGTCTACACTAAATTCACCGTTTTTTTTTTTTTTCATTATTTGGAAAAAATAGTTGAGTGCCTCAAGATAATTCTAAATTCAGAAAGAAAAAATAATTTAATGTAGATTTTTTTTTCGTGCATTTATTTTTCGAAACTCAATATTATTTGTGATCAGGAAAACTTTTTAAAGAAACAAATTTTAAATAGATGAAAAAAAAAATGCGCTCTGCATGTACGATGCGCTAAGTAAACTTGACTAAACAAACAAAACTGAGATGCAAGAAAAAGTTTAAAAACTTATTGAAGAGAGTCGACTGAATTACATTTATATAATGGATATGCATTTATTCACGACTTTTAAAAAGCTTCTTGATCCAACTTTCTTTAATGCATTCTTGAAGATAACTTTTTTTTTTTTTACTGCATTAAAAACTCCAGAGTTAGGTTTTCGATATGAGTCCGAAAAAAATTTTTTCTTTTTTTTCCCCAAATAAAAGTCCCTGGGCACAAAAGAAAAAAAAAATTGCACAAAAACGAAGCACGTATAATTTGAGCACAAGTCAGTTTTTTTCAATATAAATCGAGAGAAAGACAAAAGAAAGAAAGAAAGAAAGAAAGAAAGAGAGAGAGTGAAAGAGAGTATTTTCGAATTAATTTTTCGATATCAGAGATGATTGATCTTATAAATAGAGACCTAGACAAATTGTGTTCTTTAGCGGTAGGTGAAAGTGTCATATTGTATCCGTCCCCGTAGATTTGCATTTGTAGAAAGATAAACCGTTAGTACTCTACTTAAAGAACCGATGGGAAAAAAAAAAAAAAAAAAAAAAAATTTAAGAGTGCAGGACGCTTTATCTAAATAGTTAACTCTTTCTACCTGCAGTATCTATTGCTCCAGCGATAGTGGCGTGAAAAAAAAAACGACGTTTTACGAGACGTCATTATATGTTTACAATTACCTAATTTATATTCTTGAATCCTATCGACTATATTATAATTATTACGTTATTATATAATTATTATTACAATTACAGTAGTAGCTGGGAAGGGAACTTTTTTACACTCCTAAATATTGTCGCTCCTATATAATATTAAAAAAAGGAAAAAAAAAAAAAAAAGATTATAACTATTGCTACTGAAGCTAGTTGTAACGTCAACTGCTGTTAGAATTTACTGTTATTGTCGATAAAAACAAAAAAATAGAAAGTCAGCCTCGGTAGTAATAATGCAAAGGCAAAAAAGCATTAAACGAGCAGCCGCACTATTTTAATTATCGAGAGACCTGTACCAATATTTGATCTCACGGATTTATTGTTTTTTATTTATTTTCTTTTTTTTTGCAAGAGATGAACTCTATTTGTGTGAACACAAATATTTTCGGGGCGCAATTTAAAAAAAAAAAAAAAAATATTTAGGTTTATGAAACAAAAATAAATCGGGCAATGCGTATTATATTCAGTGAAGGATTTTTTTTTCCAAAAGAGACTGATCAAAAAAAAAAAAAAAATGCAATACTTTTAGAAAAAATCAATATGATATAATAATTTATATATTATTATTAATGAATAATAATTATTGGATTAAAAAGAACAAAAAAATTATAAAAATCGTCTTCCATTGCTGACATAATACGCTGTCCCCGTTTTACAATATATATATATATTTTTCCTGAATGTTTCTTTATTGGAAGTGTGCAATTGTTTCGTTAATCCGAACTACTAAAGCTGCGCGCTTAAACATGAAAAAAAAGCAATCGCACTTTATTTGCGAAGCTGTGTTTGAAAGGTTTTAGTTTTATATAAATATATATATATATATTATACAAATAGTTATATATGTATACATAACTCTCGCTTTAGATAAACTCCACTGACTTTGTTGAAAGTCACTGACGTTTAATCATAAAAGTTGACTTTGTAAAAATCCTTTTTTTTAAATAATAGCTAAAAATATTTAAAAAACCATCAATAATATTGTCTTAAAAATAATAATAATAATAATAAAATATTGAAATATTTATAAATAAAAATGTAAATTTACATTTTTTTTTTTTTTTTGAAAAAATAATTTATAGTATTTTTTATTATATAAAATTAAAAATAAATATTTCATTTTAAAGTGAAATAAAAAAAAAATTTTAAACAATTGAAAATAAATGAAAATGAGAAGGGGAAAAAAAAGGGATTTTTATAAATTCATCTTTTTTTTAATCACAAAACAAAATATGGATTGTACTCCTAGCGATATAGGACATCAGGCAGTATTTGACAATATAAATAGAAAACAAGAAAAGTTGTAAAAATTACAATATGTTTAATCTCAACAAGAAAAAAAAAAAAAAAAAAAAAAATCTTATTGGATTTTAGTAAATTCAGCACTTGAAATTTCTCCGCAAAAATCATCATTATTATTGGCCTGCGAAAATAAGGCCAAGTGTCTGTTAAGATAGAAGATTGGTTTTCTGTGTAATTTTTTTTTTTTTTTTTTTTTCGCAATCCCAGTGTCCACTTGAAAATGGAGAGAAAAATTTTCATACACTCAAAAAGTAGATCATATTTTAAAATAATTTTTCTACTATTTTAATTATTTACATACTGTAATTTTATTTTAGTTTTTTATAAGTAGAAAATAAATTTATAGTTTCTTTTTATAAGTACAAAAATGAATTTGATAATTTTTGTAAAAAAATTTTATCCTAAATGAATTATGGAATAATTTTCCAAAAAAAAAAAAAAATTAATTTTAAATGAATATATTAAATTTTAGGTAGTAAAAAAAAAAAAAAATTGCAATGGCCTAGAGTTGAAAAAAAAGTTTATCACAAGATTATGCAAAAAGAAAGAAAAGAAAAATTATTGAGAAAACCAAATCTTGTATCGTGATGGACCAAAAACCTCGCAGACCTCATTTTTATGTCAATACTGCCCGTAGTCTTTGTTTTTTTTTTGTTTTTTTTTTTTTTGAAAGGTCGAATGTAATGCGTATTTAGAATCGTATCGATCAAATGTGTAGAACTAAAATTTATGTATGAATAATCTATATTCATAAAAAGTATATGATAATTTATTTTTCCAATGTGCATATCATATCATTTTTATAAGAAGTTTGTCAGATCTGAAGGCTTTACACCATAACTCGAAATAGCAGTTTAATAGCGTGGAGATTATTCGCCATTTATATAATATTAATATTTTAAATTATTGTAATTATATTATTATATATAATATGCTTTTTAACTAGTTTCTTCATTGTGTTCTCGTCTTAATTATTTAAGGATTTCTCTTGTAATTATTATTATTTTTTTCTAACCCTCTTACCGGCTAGAACAAGAGAACAGAGGAAAAGGAATAAAAAAAAAAAGAAGAATTTTAGCTATTTTGTGAAAAATGAATTTTATTAATTTGCAAAAAGAAAAAAAAAAGGAAAGCTCCATAATGTGCTGCGTCGATTAGATGTAAGGGCTAAGTTTATAAATAGAAATAGTACAATCGTGTGAAAAAAAAATTCAGTCCAAATACGTGTGTATATTCACGTAGCAATGCCTAAATTTTCTACTTTTTCTTAGTGGTCGTCGCTTTATTTTTTGATTTACAATTTCTATTGAAAAAAAAAAAAAAAAATCTCTACTAATACTTGAGAGACAAGAAATAAAAAAAAAAAAATTCATATTGGTATTTGTGTGAAAATTATCAGGCATTTTAGGTGTTTGCGATGGTGTCTGTAATTTTCAGATCCTAGTTAATAAAAAAAAGAAATTGTTTTCTTAAAAGGATGTTCCACAAAAAAAAAGAAAAAAAAAACTACTCGAATGACGTAATAGATAAATAACTACGTAAAAAAAATTCTCGACTACGTAAAATTGTACTAGATAAATCTAAAGAAAGAATCTATTAAAGATAATAATCAATCGATCGGCTGAACTTTATAACAAAAAAAAGAAGTGTTGCAGACTAGACTGGCTTTTAATTCATGGTTCGGATTTATGAATAATCTATAACACGAGTGTTGTACAGTCATCAATGTATATGTACTTAATTAAGCTGTGCGGACAAAAATAGGGGGTAAAAAAAAAAATCAAATTAATACAAGAGTTTCTCAAAAAAAAAAAAATTATTTATAAGAAACACAATTTAATTTAATAATAGTAATTAAAATTATAAATATAATTAAATAATTATCATTTAATTAAATTAATTATCAATTTTGATAATTAAGTATTAAAAAACAAAGTATTTGCAAAAGTATTCAAAACAAGTATTTTCAAAGCAACGTTTTTAAAATTGTTGATTTGAATTTTTTATGAAGTTAATTTTTCTTCTATTTTTACTTTTTGAGAGGCTCTTGACAGAAAAAAAAAATTCGAATGTAAATTTTTACAATATATGACATCAAATCTTTTTTTTTTATTTATTTGTGTGCTCGTGAACAAAAAAAAAATCATATCAAATTCGACTATAAAAAGAAAAATTCTAGAAATTACTGTCGTCTACCATCTCGAAGGAGAGAGATCTATTCACTGAGAATAATTAAATGTGTGTACGTGAATCACTTTATAAAAAAAAAATTAATAATGATGTTTAGTAAATTAAGAAATAAATTCTTCTTTAAAAATTATATTATACATAATGTAATTGGAAAAATTTATCGATTTTGATGTAACAAAAAAAAAACAATTTTTTTTGTCAGGGGGAGGGGAGAAAAACTGAGTTCGTCGCACGCTAGTTTAAAAAAAAATGCAAAGGGTGTTAAAATACATGTTTAATAATAATTGAAGAAAAAAAGAAAGGAAATTACACACACAAACACACACCTAACCACGCGCGTATGCAACACACCGCAAGTGACACTTAAGTATGATGATAAACGCAGGATTACTAATATACATATTATATTATGAAGGAAAGCAAAAAAAAAAAAAAAAAAAATATATATATATATAAATAAATATATATATATATGCATTGAAATGTGTGTATATATATATTAATGTTACGATATAAACTAATCAACACTATTAACGATTATGAATTAGCTAGGCTGTACTGAAGTATTCTTATGAGCTGACTAAATTCCCTCCCATTACATACCAATGGATTGTGTGTTAACTAATAAGATTTAAATATAAAAAAAAGAAAAGAAAACAGAAAAGAAAGAAAATAAAATGTAATAAGGAATTTAATTATCATGGATATTAAAAAAAGATGTCCGCTATATTGCTACAACATCTTTCTTCGAACAAAAAAGAGACGCAGTGTAAAACATAATTTACATTAAAAAAAAAAAAAATAATAAATAAAAACACCCTGAGTTATTCAGTGGCGTTGTCCATGGCGCACATGAATGTCAAATTATCTTTTTAATTCACAAATAAATGAAAGAAAACAATAAAAAAAAAAAAAAAAAAAGATGGTTCGACAACAGTGTATTAGCAATAGTAATACCATACCATATTATATGCGGATAACACTGCACATGCTAGAAAAAAAAAAAATGAAATAACTATCCGAACGACACATACATATTATAAATATTATTAAGGCGTCGTGTATTTGTTTAATAAAGGTGTACATTCGAAATTGTTTTAGTTTCAATTTTAAAATGTTAAAAAAAAAATTCCTTTTTTTACCATCACTGACTATAACAAGTCAGTTGACAGTTTTTAATGAGTAAAATTTTTAATTTTAAAATATTTGTAGCCCCTTAGTGTAAATATTGTTTAATAGCAGAATTGTCAATTATGTAATTTGATTTGATTCTGATGTCAAAGTCAAATTTATTTTGACGTGAATTTCAAATTTATTTTGACGGCAAAGTCAAATTTAAAATTCAAGAAATTCATTTTTTGATTTGATTTTAACGTCAAAGTCAAATTTAATTCGAGAAATTAATTTTTGTTGATTTGATTTTTACGTCAAATCAAAAAATGAATTTCTCGAATTAAATTTGAATTTTGTCGTCAAAATCAAATTAAAAAAAAATGAATTTCTTGAATTAAATTTGACTTTGACGTCAAAATAAATTTGAATTTGACATCAGAATAAAATCAAATTACATAATCGACACCCAGGGCTTCGAAGTGACACACTTTTTTACTTTTTTGATACTTTTTTTCGACACGGCTAATTTTTTACTACTAATTTTGGCCAAAAGCTACTAAATGCAACTTTTTTCAAAAAAATATTTTTAAATATGACAGAATTCAAGAATTTTAAATTTTAGCGAATTTTTTGATTTCCAAAAGCTCGCAAAGTTGATGATTTATTATGAACTATTATATAATTATTTTTTACACAAATTTTCCTTTTTCAAAATAACATTTAACACAATTTCTTTTTAAACGACCATTTACTCAATAAAATTTTTAATTTGTCAAATTTTTTTTTTGTCAGAATTTTTATTTTACAAAATTTCTCTTTACTCAACCGTTTTTTTTTTTTTTTTAATAATTCTAATTTATCCAAAATTCAGAGAATAATTGAATTTTAGAGTATTTTAAATTGAAAAGTGTTTTAAATAATTAAAATGCCAAGATCTTGATTAAAGTTATTAAAAATAATTATTTCGACAAAGAATTTGAATCAAAAGTTTTAATAATAATTGAATTTCAGGAGATTTTGAATTAAAATTTTTGTAAATTAGAATTGCTGAAAATTTTTAACAAAGTTTTAAACAGTAATTGAATTTTAGAGAATTTTTAATTTAAAAAATGTTTTATTTAATTGAATTTTTGAATAATTGAATTGAAATTATTAATTTAGCAAAGAATTTTAGATACAAATTTTAAAAATAATTAAATTTTGGATTAAGATTTTTAAAAATAATTGAATTTTTATAAATTTTTAATTAAAATTGTTATTTTAAAATACTAAATATTTTATATAAGCTTCCGATTCCAAGTTGTAGGATTTAAAAATTCAAATTACTTAAAATTCTACTAAATGAGAATTCTAATAAATTAAAAATAGATTAAATTAGAATTATTTTCAAGGAACAATTGGGTAAAGAGAAATTTTATAAAATAAAAAATTCGGTACTTTAAAAATCCCGTTGAATAAACATGCGTTTAAAAAAAATTCAGTATTAAATGCTATTTTGTAAAATAAAAATTTACGTGAAAAATTTATTTTTATGAAATAATGATACGCTCCTATCGTTGCGCCAAAAACAACAGATTTTTTCGCAAAATACTTGAAAAATTGAGCTAATATTTTGTATGGGAAAACTTAAAAATATATATACCTAAATATATTTTATATAAATATATATATTTTGTCAAAAAAAAATTTATTCTTAAAAAATTGTATATTTGAAGAAATTATTAATTTCGCCGACTAATTGAATTTTCACCAAAAAAATGCAATTTTTTAAAAACAAATTTTTTGATAAAATAATTAATATACTTTCACACATTTCAATGAATGATTATACCATTTTTTTTTTTTTTTTTACATGACAAGATGAAATATAAAAATTTTATTTTTAGCTAAAAAAATGTTTTCCCCAATTTTTTTTTATCAATAAACATTACAATAAATATGAGACGAAAATTCATAAAAATTTTCATTTAAAAGAAAATATATATATATTTCTTTAAAGTCGTTGATCATAAATGCATTGTTAATTTCAGCATTGTTTTAATTAAAAGTTTCAATTTTTTTGAGGAAAACAATTTTTAATTTGTGATTACGTCTGTGGCACCGTTTTAAAATAACAAAAATATTGTTAAAAATAAATTTTTCTTTTTCATACCAAAAAAAAGTGGGTTATGTTGGACAATGATGTGATTAATATTAGGGAAATAAATTGAAATTTCCGTTCTATATTTGTTATAAATATTAGAATTGTATATTTGCAGAGCAAATTGACTTATTTCATATACATACGTGTTGAAGATTAATTTATGTACAAATAATGATTATGTTTCATTTCTTTTTTTTCATAAAAATTAAACTTATTGAACAGTCCTGCTTCAGCTTACAATAAGATTTTTTTCCGATTTTTTTTTTTTTATATATATATACAACTTCGCAGATAGGAAACAGTTTTTTTTTTATCATAAATATTATTTTAAAGGATAATTTACAATGTTCATATAAACTTAAATATAGGTGTTTTTTAAATTAAGATTAAATAATAATATTATAGACAATTTATATTTCAAGAAAAAAAAAAAAAAAAAAATTATCCCTCACCAATATTGCACAAACAAATACAAGTCTAAGTCTCCAGCTTCATTAGTTTAAGTCTCTTTTTTTTATAATATAACACAAAAAAAACAATTAACCATACATATAATAGTAGCAGTTCGTATAGGTGAGTAATGGGCGCTATTAAAAGAAAAAAGAAAAGAAAAAAATTATTGAAAGAATAATTGGCTCACCTTGGAAAATAAAGAAAATATATCCATTGTCAATCAGCAAACGACAATCGTCGTTTGTTCGCCGCTACTTGGTAAAAATAATTTTATATTCTCAGCACTCCAATGAAGTAGTGCTCCTTGACAAACTACACTCCATACGTAAGGAATGAAAAATTCTTCCGGTTGTTCCTCCTCAACGTATTTGAATTTTAGTTCGGGAAATTTCTGTAAAAAATACAATTTTTTGAATTTCAAAAAAAAAAGTTTACGGTTTTTGATAATTTTTAAAAATCTATTATTTTGTTCAAATAAATAAAATCAATACAAACATTTTTGTTTTAGCAATGTTTGTACAAATTTCGAGAATAAAAAAATTCTTACAATTTTTTTTTTCAAGAAATTATTTTTTAAAAAAGAAACTATCATATTGAATATAAATTTAAAAAATTTTAAATTGACTAAATTAAAATTTATAACATTATTAAAAAAAAATTTATAATATTTTTCACATTTAACAAATTTTAAAATATTTAATTAATTCACACTATTACTTGATTAAAAATTACATTCAATTGTATTAAAATTTCAAATGTAAAAAAAAAAATTCAATTACCTATCTACTTAAAATGTTAATTATTGTAACGTTTAATTAATTTTCAAAAACAAATTTAAAATAATTAAAATGAGAAAATAATTATTTTTTAGTATTTATTCGAGTTTATTTGTTTTTTGCGGTAAAGATTTAATTTTTGAAAAGAAGCCTTAAATTTTACTACCTATTTTTAATCAACACTGAATAAAAAATTAAAAAAAAAAAGATTTTTAGAAATCCAAGAGAAAGTCAGTGTTTTTTAGATTTTTTTTCTAAATGATATAGTGATTTTTTTTATTTTTCATTTATGCATGCGATTTATTGTTAGTTGATTAAATTTATTAAATTACCCGCAAACGATCTTTTGGCCATTGACTAGTTCCTTGTTGAATGGTAGCTAAAACTTCATTGACACCAATTTGAGACTGATCATTTTGCTCCAATTTGTAGGAGAAAAAATTTATTACCTACAAAATTTAATATTTTGTTAATAAATAATTTCTATATTCGTTTTCTGTTTTTTAGTTTTTATTTTAATTCCTACATGGACTTCATCGATATATATATATATATATATATATATATATATATATATATATGTATTTTAAGAATTAAATAGTAACATGTTTCGATTCATTGAATTCTGTTTTCAACCATCGTGGTCTATATAAAGAAATTTTAATCTTCTTTAATTTTTTCATATTCATTTAATTTAATGTTTATTTAGGGTCATTCCATTATATTTCACCTAAAGTCGTTGCGGCCTAATTTTTAAAGAAGTTGATACTTTCAGAAATGATTTTTTATGATATTTAGGAAACGAAATAAAAAGAATTAATTAAAAATTTTTATTATTTATCTCAAAATATGTATTTAAAGTGGACAAGGTGCGGAAAAATGTCACCTTTTTAGCATTTAGAAACTTTTTTTAAAAACGTAGAAAAATTGTTAAAAGTGTAAAAAAAATTATTTTTTCTTGTTTAGAATCGATTAATTATCTATTTTTTAATGATTAAAGTAGTAAATAAATTAAAATAATATATAAAATAAGTTTTCAAAGTTGGTCTGTCAAATAACCTAATTTTGGGATTTTTATTAATTAATTACTAAAAAGTGGAGTTATTAAATAAAATAAAAACTTACCGAATGTAAAGTATTTGTGGTGAACTTTCAAATTTTCTTAGCACTTTGTACTTTTTAAATTTATAAATGTAAAAAATCTTGAGTCGAAAATTTGCACTTTGTTGACTTTTCCGATTTTTAATCGCTTGTAACTCTTTTGGTGCAAAATAAAAACTTTTGAAACCTTGTGGAATATTTAAGTTAAATCTAAATAAAAACTCACTTAAATTTTTGTGATGGATTTTGATCGAGATAAGGAGAAAATTTAATTCCAAAATTGTACGTATATTTCCAGGTTAATGTATGTAATTTTTTTAAACTTGAAGTTGGGCCACTACTTCAAAGACGAAAAATTACATACATTAACCTGGAAATATACGTACAATTTTGGAATTAAATTTTCTTCTAATCTCGATCAAAATCCATCACGAAAATTACAGTGAGTTTTTATTTAGATATAACTTAAATATTCCGCCAGGTTTCAAAAGTTTTTATTTTGCACCAAAAGAGTTACAAGCGATTAAAAATCGGAAAAATCAACAAAGTGCCAATTTTCGACTCAAGATTTTTTACATTTATAAATGGAAAAAGTAAAAAGTGCTAAGAAAATTTGATAGTTCACCGCAAATACTTTACATTCAGTGAGTTTTTATTTTATTTAATAATTCCACTTTTTAATAATTAATTAATAAAAATCCCAAAATTAGGTTATTTGACAGACCAACTTTGAAAACTTATTTTATATATTATTTTAATTTATTTACTACTTTAATCATTAAAAAATAGATAATTAATCGATTCTAAACAAGAAAAAATAATTTTTTTTACACTTTTAACAATTTTTCTATGTTTTTAAAAAAAGTTTCTAAATGCTAAAAAGGTGACATTTTTCCGCACCTTGTCCACTTTAAATACATATTTTGAGATAAATAATAAAAATTTAAACTTAATTCTTTTTATTTCGTTTCCTAAATATTATAAAGAATCATTTCTGAAAGTACCAAGTTTTTTAAAAATTAGGCCGCAACGACTTTAGGTGAAATATAATGGAATGACCCTTTAAAATTTTTTTTTTTTTGTAAAAGAGCATAAAAGCCCTTTTACAAACTTAATTTTTTTTTCAATAATGGTAAAAATTTAAAATCAATAATAAAACCTAATGAGAATTCAAATGAATCGAAACATGTAGTTATTACTTAATTATTAACATATTATATTTATATCGTTTAAGACTATGTGAAATTACACAACCTAAAATCAAATCAAGCCTTAAATTTCTAATTAAGGTACGTATATAAAATATGTCTAATTAATAATTATAAATAATTAAACATATATAATTATAAATATTCTTACCGATTCTATATTTTGAACAATATCTTGAAACGCGGAATGCATCGTGAATGGTTGAAAAACTTCTCTTTTGTATAAAAGTGTATAAACGAGATTTGGATTTTCAGGCAATTGATGCGTTAAACAACTATTTATTATTTCCAACACCATTCGTAGCACCTCCTCCAAAATCGTTAGGTCCTGAATCTGAAAAATAATTTCAAACATAAAAAAAAAAACGTTAATTTTAATTTTCTCAGTATTATTTTAATATTTCTATATTTAATTCCATAATGAATTATTAATTTGTTGTTGCAATTTTTTTTCCATTACATTTAATCATAAATCTTATTGAATTTTTTTTTTCTTTTTTTTTTAAATGTATAGAATAATTTATTTAGATTTATTTATTTCAGAATAATTAACTAATGGAATTCACAAATATTTTACCAAATCTGCATTCACAACGCCTCCATTGGCATTTTCCTGATCAGTTGAATTCGATGGTGGTTGATTGCGAATTTTTGTCTCTAATTTAACATGCTTCTTTGCCAATGTCTCAAATAAACTGACAAGTCTTTGACTTACATAAGGATGCAAATTTCTAAATTGACTTGACATATTTGCCAAAGCAGCCAAACAATTTGTATGTAAATATTTATCCTAATCGTTAAAGAAAAAGAAAATTTTCATTTAATTACGTTTGATAAACAAAAATAATGTTGAGGATAAAGAAACAAAAAATCAAACTTACACGCATTTTTAGCATATTATACTGAATTGTCCTTATTACTACAAGAACTAATAATCCACCAAGAGAAATTTCACTTATCGATCTCTCCGTATACCAAGTTATTCCTTTTAACGTCTGAAAAAATTTGCAAATTTTAATTTCATAAAAATTATAAGCTCGAAAGTTTTACAATTTCTTTTTGCCCGCAAACTTAAAAAAAACTAATAGTGAATAAAAATGATAATATAAAGTAATATACAAAATTAAAGTATAAAATATGAAATTAAATTACATTTAATTTAATTTAAATAATAAAAAAAATTTATTTTTATATGTTATTATTATTTTTTTATTTAATATAATAATAAAATATTAGAAATTAAAACATTGAGCAGAAAAATAAATAAAATGAAATAAAACGAAGTAATAAAAGAAATAGAATAATTGAAGATAAAATTCATTTTATAATGTCAATAGAAATTCTACTTACGATCTCGTGGACTCTTTTATTAAATAATTCATCTTCACTTAAAATTAAAAGAATAATAAGGGACATGTAAATATGATGAGATGTATTGTCTGGTGCGTTGTACAAAATTCTTAAAATTGGTATCACCTAAAAAAACACAAAAATATAAATTATATTTTCAAATTTGATTTTGGAAAATTAAAAATTTTAATCTTCAATTTTTTAAATTAATGTTTATAAATTTGATTTGAAAAAAAAAAATTCGAATTATCCGTATTTATTTTTATAACAATAAATTTTGCAAAATAAAAATAAGTTCGTTAAATTTTTGCAAGAATTGTAAGAAAATTTTCTGATTTAGAAAAATAATATTGTACTTACCAATAATTGAATATCGTCTCGTTTCATAATATATTGCTTGACATTTGGATTTCTGTATAAAAGCATGTATAAAAGTAGCGTTACCTCGTCAGTATTTGTTATTTTACAAATAGTATTATACAATTTATCGAAATTAAATCTAAATGAAGGAATCACTTTCGATTGGGCCGCAGAATTATCATCTGGAAAAAATTGATTGAATTATTAATATTTAATTTTATAAAGATAGAACATTCTGTCAATTATATTTTGAATAAATTATAAAACAATTTTTCATTTTTTTTTTACATAAATTAAAGAATTATAAATTGAACACATACTTTAAATTTACAACTGTTCCTTTAAATCAAATTATAATTAAATTTTTTTTTCCAAATTCAACAAATATTTAAATAATTTAACAAAAATAATTCATTAACAATAAAAAACAATTTTTTAATTCATTCGTAGAAATTATAGAAATTTCTATTAGAAAATAGAATTTTTAAATTCAATTTTTTGTTTGAAAATCTAAATAAATAAATATTAAAAATTAAATTTTTTTGTATTTAAATATTTTTAAATTCAACTATTCATTCCATAAGTTAATAAATGTAATTGTATTAAAAGTTGTAATTATTTTAAAAAGTTTAAATATTTAAAACGTAAGTAAGAATTTTTGTAAAATTCAATTACTTCACAATTTAATTTCTCTTAATTCAAATTTTTCTTATTAATTAATTTAAATTCTTTTCCTTTTTGCGAGTTTTATATATCTTTGTTTAAAAATCACTTTTCGAATATTTTTATTTTTAAAAAAGAACCAATATTTGCTGTTTTTGCTGTTAAAATTATGATACTGAATGTTTTTTCATCCTCCAACAAAAATAATTTAATATAAAATGAAAATAATTTGTATATAAAAATTAATAAGTTTTTTTTTTAAATGTATATCTGTAAATTTTTAAAATTTGAAAAAATTATATAAATATTGCCTATGTTTCATTTATTGTTATTTTATTTGTGCTCAAAATAATTTTTATTATTTATTCAAAACAAAATTGAATGAATGTTTTTGTATTAAATTTTTATTAATAAGATATTAAGAATTTAATGCATCTATTTTTCTTTTTCTTTTTTTTTTATAAAAATTTAATATTTTCATTTAGGTATTTGTTTATTATTAAATTTTCATAATTTAATTTTTAGTTTAGAAAAAAAGTAAAAAAAAATTTTTTTTTTTAAATTTTTGAATATATAATCACCTGGCACATCTGTAAAAGAAAATAATGCATCTCTATAAGGATTATGGGAAGTTGTCCAGTGATTTGTCAATACTAGTAACAATAACAATGATTGACTAGCTAATGGGGTTTCAGTGTCTCTTTTTCGTTCTATTTCCTCGTTTGCACCTCCACTACTTATTTGTACATTTTTCCGACTATTTCCTATTCCAAGCGTGATGACATTCCATAATCCCGCTGAAAAAAGTATCAAAATTTATATTTAGCAAAATGTTTAGATGATCATTAATTAATTTTTATTATTCTATTTCAATAATTGTAATTAAAAAAAAAAAAAAAAAAAAAAAAACCTAAAAATTTTGTATTTCAATATAAAGCATTAAAATTGTGAACAAATTTTTGAAAAAAACTACATTTTTAAATTTTTACTAAATGAAGACAATTTTCGAACTTTACCGGCAATACTTAGAACAAGACTGCTTCCATGGGGTTGAGTAAGTAATCCAGGTGGTGCATGCTCTTGTTGAATAAAATTATTTAATAATGTGCAAATAATAATTGGAGCAAATGCACTCTGCTCCTGATGCATTATTATTCGATAACAAATACTGTATTCCGCCGATGTTTGTGAAAATAATTGCACCGATAATAGTACAAGTAAACAATTTATTGCTTCCAAATGTACCAAATAGGTAAGATCACTGTCGAAAAATGAAAAAAAAAAAAACATGTTTGTCTAGTTTAAATAATTTGAATTTTGTTGTTGAAATATTATAATATTTAAATATTTATTTCTTCAAACCTTAAGGGAACATTGACAATAACATCTTTCAGAGCTTCGAAAAATGACTGCAATCTAATAGGAATTGCATCTTGTATTTCCGATTCTATAGCTTGCACTTCTGTGTGCTGTACCATTTCGTTTTCTCCTATTGTTTCGATAAAGTACTTTAAAACACATCGAATTGCAAACAAAGAATTGTATGTTTGCCATGTATAAACAATACTGTAAAAGAGAAAGAGAATAAAAAAGAAGGCAGAAAATATTATTTCAGAATCATTAAAATTTTTTAAATTTAAACAGAATTGCCACAAAAAAATATTTTTCAACTTCACGCTAGTTTTCACTATTTTCACTAGAACACGGATCACAGTTTCTTTTTTTAAATAAGTAAAATAATTGTTAATTAATTACCGAAAATATGTAACAAAAAGTTGATAAAAAAAACTGATAGTTAAACCAATTAACGTGCAAAATAACTAATTTCTATCTATTTTAAATTTAAATCCAAAAAATTTGTATTACAATTTCATCAATAATTGAAGCATTAATTAATAGTTTAAAATTTGGGTAAATTGAATCTTGGATAACTTGAAATTTAAATTAATCAAAATTTTCATAAATTGAAAATTAAATTAATTAAAATTTAAATAATAGTAAAAAATTTTATAATTTAAAATTTAAGCCAATTTAAATTTGTACAAATTGAAATTAAAAAAATTTGAAATTTATATCGATTAAAATTTAGATAATTTAATATTTAAGACAATTAAAATTTGGAAATATTGTAATTCTGATTCGTTCATTTTTAAGTTTTGATTGATTAAATTTGCATTTAATTAAAATTTGAATTAATAAATTTATTTTGACAAATAAAAATTAGAATTAATTAAAATGAAAAATTTTCTTCAGGAATTTCTGAATTAAAAAAATATATATTTATTTCACATCAAATTTTATTAATTTTATTTTAAATTCGTGAAAAAAAATTTTCTTTTGAATATTATCACTGGATGTATTATTTCTTATTGAGTTAATTAAAAGTTTGTATCACGTGAAATTTTAATTGAAATTTGTATTAAATAAAATTTGTACAAAATTTAATTTTGAATTGAATGAATTTTGAATTAATTTAAATTTATTGAAATTAACCTAAATAATTGTTAAATCGATGAAAAATTTTGATAAATTCAAGCTTTTGGGTCAATTGAATCATTTATAGCAAAATGAATGTGCCTTAAGTTCTGAACGTTCAAATGAACGAAAAATTTATTTACTTAGGTTTTTACTTTCAAATTTTATTATAAAATATTGCTTTCTGTATTCAAAAATACATTAATAATTTATTAAATGTTTAATATACTTTTTTATTTTTCATTGCTGAAGTAATTTTGAAAAAATTTATAGAACAAAAAATTATTTCGTTCATTTAAACGTTCGGAACTTCAGGCACATCAAAATGATGATAATCTGTAATTTTTTTTTCTATATAAATTCAGGAATGTTAAAAAACATTCTTAATAAATTAAAAAAATAATTTTTCAACGTTCCTGAACTTAAATAAATTTTTTTAAATAATATATTCGCAAATTAATTGAATCATGAGAAAGGTGAAAATTGTAACAAATTATCAAAATAGATGAAATAGGTGAAAAAATTTTAAATCGGTGAAAAAAAAAATGAAAAGGTGATAAACTCTGATTCTTTCTAAAGGCAAAATTTGTACGTAGCTGAAGTACGCAACGTTTATGATAAACGATTTTTAAAGAAATAATTTTTTAAAACAAAAAATTCTATAATTTTTTGCCTAAAAAATATTTCTTGTAGTATTCATTAATCAACAATAAAAAAAATATTTTTTAAGCAAAAAAATATAGAATTTTTCATTTTAAAAAATTATTTCTTTAAAAATCATTTATCATAAACGTTGCGTACTTCAGCTTCGTAAATTTGTTAAAAAATTTTACGCATTCAGGAAGTGTATATTTCTAATTTTTTTTTATAGATTTTTTCTGAAAATTTGTTTAATTTTCTTAATTTCCTTTATTTGTGGCTACTCTGTTAAATTATATTGAAACTTGGAAAACTGGAGGGTCAGAACTCGTGAAATCAGCATAGAAAATAAAAAATATTTTTTTTAAATCGAAATATAAAAAAAAAAAGTTCTATTAGAACACAGAAATGTTTCTACCAAGCGAAAAAAAATTTTTTTTTTCTTTTACAGAAGTTATTGCAAAATGATTTTTTTTGGTCATTTTTTAAACAAATGCTTATTTCTCGTACACGAATGGACCGATTACAATAAATCAAACGGCTACACAAAGGGGAGGAAATAGACATCCGTTTAAAATTATAAATTTAAAAAAAAAATAATTTTTTCATAATTTTTTAATAAATTGTTTATAAACAATTAAATTTTTTTTTATGTTCTGTGCCTATTAAAAATTCGAAAAAAAAAAATCTAAAATACTCTTAAAACTCTAAGGATTCGAAATCTGTTGAGGAAATTTATGTGTCTCGACAATGCTGTATGCCGCGCAACACAATTTTTATCATTACTATTAAAATTATAACTGCACATAAATTTTCTCAACGGATTTCGAATTCTTAGAGTTTTAAGAGTATTTTAGGATTTTTTTTTCGAATTTTTAAAAGGCGCAGAACATAAAAAAAAAAAAATTATGAAAAAAATAAATTTTTTTTTTAAATTTACAATTTTAAACGGAAAAAAAAAATTTTTTTTCGCTTGGTAGAAACATTTCTGTGGTCTAATAGAACTGTTTTTTCTATATTTCGATTTAAAAAAAAATATTTTTTTAAAAATATATATATATATTTTAATTTTTAAATATTTTTTTAATATATATTAAATATTTTTTATTTTCTATGCTGATTTCAAGAAATTTTGACCCTGGAATATTTGTAAAAATTGTATTTAAATTTTGAACTAATTTAATTGTATTTAAATTATTTTTTTTTTTTACTTTTCAGATTGTTTCGAAAGAAGCAATTCAGCCATCCTCGAAAGTGCGACTTCAATTAAAGAACCTATATTCCCAGTTGTATGATTGTTGACCAGCAACTTTTGGCATGTTATATCTAATCGAGAATCAAGTTCAATTTGATCGGTTCTCGTTAAAGGCGGACGTATATTAAATGATAAAAATCTATTCCAAAATATATCGTTCGGCATTATAGGTTCCTTACTACAAAAACGTTCCAGGTATGAATTTTTTGATAAATCATCATGTCGACTGGGAGTTGCACCCATTTTTTTTTTGATTTTCTGTTACTTTCCTGCAAAAAAAAAAATAAAAATGATTCTTTTATCAAAAAATTAAATTTTTACGATACAAACATACGACATCTAAAATACTAGTAAAAAAGAAATATTAACATTATTGTATATATAAAAATGTTATTTACCTTAAAATTAAAAACAAAACTTATTTATTTATAAAAACTATTATTGAAATTATTTTTAAGAAATAAAACTTAACCTAAATTTTACATAGAAAGACATTTGAAAAAAAATATTTCTTACTTTTCGAAATTGATTTACTTTTTTTGCTTTTGTTATAATAATGATTAAATTAGTACACGTCAATCTGTCATTATGTCAGTAGACGTGACGACTTTTTTTTTTGCACCTAAATTCTTTTTTGCACATGTTACAAAATCCGTATTTGTTAAAAATTAAATCACTAACTTTGTTAATGTTCTTTTGAGTTTTTTTTTCTTGTTAAATTTACGTCAAAAGGAACTTTATTTGTGCGGATAACCTACAAATTTTTATAATAAATTTTTTCCTATATGTTATAATGAAATAAATGCGCCGATGACAGCGCGTCAAAAAATTCTAGTATATATACAGGGGCGACTCTATTGGGTAATATACAAATTGTTTGAAAAATTTTAATGTTATATTAATAATTAAAAACAAAAGAATAGTCATAAAAATACAAAATTCAACTGACTTTTATGATTAGCATAAATAATTTTAATTCACAAGGTGAGTGAATGTAGATACAGTTTGTTTTTTGTTTAGGGCACTAAATTATAATGCGTCGCTCCTGATTTTTTATTGTGGGTGGCGCCACTGACGCGCTTGTATTATTAGAAATTTATTTTTTAAAAAGAAAAATATAAATATTTATTAGAAAAAGTTGCAATATAACGAAAAATATAAATTTATATATCAGAATTAATGAGTTTTTAAATATTATAAAAAATCCTATATATTTTAGAACTGAGGGCTAAAAATTTCGGGAAAATTTGTATATAACAATTGTGTGTGTTTTCTCTCTATTCCATAGTAAAGAATAACAAAAATAGTTTCATAATAAAATATATAATAAATAAAAAAAAGTTATAAATATAATTTTCTTAATATTATAAAAATTAAGTATTTCTATAATAATTTTTCAAACAAAAAAGAAAAAAAAAAAATAACGCTTTTTGTCATTTTGTTATATTGGCAACACTGTTTTGTAAGCTCTATGAAGTTAAAAGAGGGTCACAGCAGAAAACGAATGTGGCTTTTGGTGTGAGATCGGCACAACCCTTTTTACAAACGGTGATAAATTTTTTTTTATTAAAAAATAGTGTCGTGTCAGTGTTAATTGAGGAAAAAGTTGTCAATTCAGTGAAAACTAGTGAGCATCGATTGTGTCAATAAAGTGCCGGCTTGTTTTTGCTTGTACATTCTTTTTGGAGCTTAGAAACATGGGAAATATCTACACTTGCGGACCAAATGAAGCGCTTGTAGTATCAGGTATGAATTTGTAAACAAATGTTTTATATATTTTTATAAAAAAAAAAAAACAATTTTTTATTTTTTTATAAAATTCTGATGTATTTACATCTTTTTATGAATTTAATACTATTCTTCGTCGTAAAATACTATATATATACTATATATACAGTACGCAGAATATTTTGAGGTTACTATTTTATGTCATAAATTTCAATTGAGTTTTTCTAGGAAATATACTTTGTTTTATGCGTTTAATATTACACAATATTTAAAAGTATTAAAAAAATTTTATTTTTTCATTATTCTTGTTGATAGATATATTATTTGCGTGGGACATGAATTTTGAGGTTAAGGGTACTAGGAATTTTCTTTATATAGGGGTTGAAAAAGTATTACTGAATGTTTTTTTTGTTGTTGTTTTTATTAATTTAAAAACAAATTTTTTTTTTGATGTGATAATAAAATTTTAATTATAAATTTCTCAATGTAGAAATTAAGTAAAATAAATTGAATAATCGATAAATAATTGAGTAAATTGAAAAATGCATAATATATATTGATGGAAATTTATTTTTTAGTGCATTTTTTTATGTAGATAAATATTGTTTTACATTTTTTTTAAGAATGATGAAAAATAGTTGATTACTTTACATTCAGAAATTTTTTATTGAAAAAACTTCTTTTTAAAGTTTACGTTGACAGTTTAGATTTTTATTTTCTTTCATTGATAAGCGAGTATATGATTCACACATTCTAAGCAATGATTCACATATATGTAATTTAATAAATTCTGTTGACTTTCTTATTTTCTTAAAGAATATAGATTTTGTTTTTTTTTTTTTTTTTCTAAAAATATTTTCTGAGAATTACAATTTTAGGTAAACAATAAGTGATGAGCAAGTATGTATTATGTGAATGATCGAGAGACAATTAAAAGATAATTATTGTTTGCATTGATAAATATAAATCAAACGTGATTGCGTAAAATTACACATGGTACTAGTAATCACGTTTTAACGTTTATTTTTTAAATATTTTTGAAATAAATTTTTTTCTTCATTTTTAAAGGTACGGTTATTTAGGTTATGTTTGATTGTTTCAATATTTGACATTCGATCTAGTATTATTATCTAAATATTTTCTTCTTAATTTAGAAAATTATTTATTTTTGCGAAAAATTAAAATAGATTTTTTTCTTCGAATTTTTCAACATTTCTTTCGTTGTTGCAGAAGAAAAGATTAAGTTTAATTGAACTCAAAAAATAAAATAGTTGTTGATTATAGGCATAATTTTTTCAATTATTTTTGAATTATTAATTGACATACATAATTATGCTCTGAACGTATAGTTTTGTTCTTTCAGGCGGTAATATTCGTGGATATAACAAATAGGGAAAAACACACAAGGTTTAATTATCATATATACATAATTAATTTCTGAACGCGAATGATTTTGTTATTTCAGACAGTAATATTCGTGAAAATAGAATAAAGTGAGAAAAAACTCCAGGTCGTATTTATAATAGTTTTATTTCATTTTATATAATCTATTTAAATTTTTTTTTATGGCAATAACTCTAAAATTTAAAAACTTTTTATTTTTACATTGAAAAACAATTTTTCTAATTTATTTTTAGAAACTTTATGATAAAAAAAATTTAATTTTCAAAAAGTTCTACATTTTTCGAGTTTTAATTCCTCTTTAAAAATATTTATAATTTCATAGCATATTTGATGAACTATTTTTTTTTTTTTTTTTTTTAATTTATAAAATTAAAAATTTTTTTTCGTCATGGAGGTCTTTTTTTCTCTTAGTAAATAAATGATTTTTTTTTTGTTTTTTATGTGTCGTAATATTTAAAAATAAAACTTAGGCTCATTGAATTCACTACATTTGAAGATAGATTTTTAAATATTTTTTTTATTATAAAAATATATAACGAAAAATGTTACAATATAAAAAAAAACAAATAAATTATTTTCAATCTTAACAATTTTTTTTTTCCACTTAAATATAGATAACTAGAATATTTACAAATTAAAATCGATTCTCGCTTTATGGAAAAATATAGTAACTAGCGTGTGTAATAATAATGTTATCATAAATGATGAGAATGGGGAAAAAAAAACATTTCTTGCATGTCTGGTAATGAAGCTTAAAAATAAAACTTTGAAATATTAATGAACGAGAAAAAAAAGTTATAAATTTTCTCTTCTATTCAAAACATTAAGATCTTATCCATCTTTTTTTTTTTTTTTTAATTCTTTAATTTCAATATTGTATAGAAGTCTTAATCTATTATGTTACAACCAAAGTTGTTGACGAGTACTGAAAAAAAATTATATTTTGCAAAAATGATTTTGAAAATATCAACATCACAAAAATAATTTTATTATTTTTTTTTTTTTATTTATTTGTAAAGTATGAATTTAAAGTGTAAAAAATTCAAAAGTCAGAATTTTTATTCGCTCGAATTTTCATTTAACATAATAGCCATTTAAATGAATTTTTACTAAGTATAATTTTTATTTGGTAGAATATTCTTCTAGAGAAATTTATGTTTGTTCGAATTATTATTTGATAGAATTTCCATATAACCGATTTTTTATATTACAGAATTTATACTTAACCGAAAAATCATTTAACAAAATTTTTATTTCTTCGAAATTGCAAATTACCGAACAAATAATCGTCAGAAATATTTTAGCACGATTTTTTAAAGTAAACAATAAAAAATTATCCATAAAATTGTGATTGGTTATTTTTTAAAAAATCGGACCGAAATCTTTCTGTCGTTCTGTTAAATGATTTTCTTGGTTAAGTATAAATTCTGTATTATAAAAATTCGGTTATAAGGAAATTCTATCAAAAATTTATCTAAAAGAAAATTCTATGCAATTGAAATTCTACCTAATAAAAATTTATTAAAATGGCTGTAACGTTAAATGAAAATTAGAGCAAATAAAAATTCTGACAAATAAAAATTCTATGAAGTGAATTCTCGTTTATATAAAAATTCTGTATTCGATTTAATGAAAATTTTGCAAAATAATAATTGGAACAAATAAAAATTCGGTTCAATGAACATTCTATCTAAAGAAATTCTCTTAAATGAAAATTCTAAATTTTTAGAACTCATTCATGCGTCCCAAAAATTTATATCTAGACGTGAATAATTATTTTTAAATTCTATCTCCATGAAGTTGGCGTCAACGCTCAGCGCCGAAAATTATTTTTCACATGACCAAAAAATGTAAAATTACTTTTTTTTGAAGGTGCTTTTATACCTCTAGTATTTTGGTCAAGCAATCGACTGGATTGAATTTTCACGAAGGAATCACTGAATTTGATTGGCTCTAACAAAATTCAATTTTCACGATGAAAATCTAATATTTGTCAGAGCCAATCAAATTCAGTGATACAAACGTGAAAATCCAATCCAGTCGATTGCTTGACCAAAATACTGGAGGTATAAAAGCACCTTAAGATTTTTGGTCCAAATAATTCCTTGAGAGAAATATTTTTTAAGGTATTGTGTAAACTCAAATCTTTTTTAAAAATGATTTGATATTTTTGATTTCGTGAAAAATAATTTTCAACGCTGAGCGTCGACGCTAACTTCATGGAGGTTAAATTCTCGCTTTTTCTTTCTTTAATTTGTGTGGAAATTAATTCCATATAAATAACTTATGCTATATGCAACAGCAGTAGCTTTCTAGTAGTAATATTTTTCTGCTGTCGATGTCGTCGTTGTCGTTGTCGTATGTTTATTCATCGTCGTCCATGTTTGTTTGATCATATCGGCGCCTTTCTCCCCTATCATGAAAATACCCGCATTTATGTGCCCTGTGGTCATGGTTGGCATAACCGAGGCATCAACCACCCTCAATCTCTCAACACCATGTACCCTAAGTTCCGCATCAACAACTGCATTTGGATCATTTTTTGATCCCATTTTTACTGTTCCCATTTCATGATTCATCATTGATGGCAAATGTTTAATTGCACATCGCCAATAATCGTCGCTGGCAAATTCAAAATTCACACAACCTGGAATTTTAATATCATGTATACGTGTTCCATAACGTTGAAAGGGTTCGGTTTTTGAAATTTTAATAGCGTGCTTTAAGCCCTCGAGGATAATCTCAACGTCGGCTGGATGAGTGAAAAAATTCGTTTCTAAAATTGGTGCTTGAAAGGGATTTTTTGATTTAAGTTTTAATCGTCCTACACTACGTGGATGTTGCATTATTGGCCATATTGACCAGGCGTCTTTATTTTCAATTGGCTTATAAACAGTGTTATAAAGTTCGTCTGATATTCCAAGACCACGTTTTAAAAATAATCCACCATCCGAATGTAATGATCCCGATGCAAATAAAAGTTCAACATCGGGCCGTGAATCTTGAGCATATTTTGTTCTAATAAAAGCTAATGCTTCAGCACCACCGGGTATTGATATTGGACCTTTTCTGTGTGCGATATATTGAAACACATTCGATGGTCTGTAATTTGGAAAAATAGTTATTTTTACATTAGAATATATGGGGGAAAAGAAATTTTTTTAGAACTCTCAAACTTTCCTTTGAAATGACAAAATATTTGGGTATAACATTTTTTGAGAAATTTTATTAAACACTGAAGAAAGAGTTTGGTTTTGACAACAAAACTTTTAGTTGGTATTTAGGCAATTAAAATTTATTTGTTGACTCAACAAAATTTTGATTGTCTCAATGAAACTTTGGTTGACACTAGCAAAATTAGAAAATAATTTTTGTTGTCTTAACTAAAGTTTGGTTGGGACGATCAACATTTTGTTGACGCAACAAATAAATTTTAAATTCAAACGTTTTGTAAAACCAAACCCTTTTTTTAGTGAAGGATACAAGTTCCTAGTACATTTTAATGTCTAACTAAAAATTATCAAAATTTTTTTATTCAGCAGAATTTTATAAAGTAGATATGAAAATTAGGCTCATCCACTTTATAAAATTCTGCTAAATAAAAATTTTATAATTTTAAATTCGTCACGAAAATAATTCTTTTAGGTCTAATGTGGAGGAGTGTTATAATTTAGACGTTTTGTTTAATTAAAAATAATTGTCCATACCTGGAAAGTGTACTTTGTAATAGTGTCACACTCTGATTAACCATAAATGTAAGTCCCAAAAATCCAATATGTTCGTACATGTTGTAGCCAACTTTTGAATTTTGAATCACTGGAATTCCTAATTCATCTAAATGTTCCTTTGGTCCTATTCCTGAGAGCATTAATAATTTTGCTGAATCTATTGTACCAGCTGAAAGAATAACTTCTTTTGTACAAAGGACACGTTGTTTTTTTGAATTTTTCACAAATTCCACTCCATAGGCTTGATTATTTTTATTAATTAGAACTTTTGTCACTCTTGTACCGGTCATTATTTCTAAATTTGGTCGATTAACTTTCAAATAAGCTGTTGCTGCACTACATCTTGCACCACGATCCATATTCACTTGAATATAAGAAAATCCAATTTGATCCACACCATTTGGATCATTGATTTTGTATCCTAATTGTTTGCCCGCTTTTAAAAATGCTGTTGCCAATTCTGAATGATATGGCACATGTTCAACGCATAAATAACCATCGGTTCCATGATACGTTGAATTCTCGATTCCTAAAATAATTTTTATTTGTACAACAAATATTTTTAAAATTTTGTATATTTTAACAATATTTATTCTTATTATTTAATTTTTGATATTCATTTGAAATTTATTTAATTCACTACTAACAAATAAATATTTATTTGAAATGAAATTTTTGAATAATTAATTATTGTAACTTGTGTTTTTGATGATTTTAGGGGAAAATTATATAAATTAGAATTGAAAATCTATTGATTAAAATTTGACAGATGTTTAAAAATACATTTAAGCATGAAAGAAAACAATCGATTCATTAACTATATTTTCTTAATTAAAAGGGTGCGGCAGAAAGTGTAAATATACTTTTCCATTTCTGCATCGCTATAGAAACCTTGGTTTTTAAGTAATATTAAAAGAAAACACGAGAAATTTAATTTTTTAATTTTCTATTTAATTTTATTTATTAAATGAAATTATTTGTGTTACTTTACATTCGTAATTTGAAGAAAAAATAATATTTATAATTCATTATTGATTATACAAATTTAATTTTAATAAGTTTATTGTGATGCCAGAAATCCAGTATTCTTTGAAAGTGAAAAGTAAGCAAGGAGTTAATTTGCATTCCGTGTAACAATTATGTACTATACAAGCCTGTGATTATGTACAAAAAAAAACGTTGGTGAAATTCAAGAGTAAATGAAATAATTACTCTATTTTATAAAGTGTAATTTTGTAATTTATATAAGAAAGTGATTGTTCTTCAAAAAAAAAAAAGAAAAAGAAAGAAAAAAAATGTTCTCAGAAGTCATTCAAACGTGGCAATCAGTTTCATTGAGTGAAATTTTAAAAATGAAACATGCTATTATACTGAGTCGTTATTATTTATCTTAAATTTTAAAGTGAAAAATAGAATGCAAAAAAATATTTTTGCTTAACAGATACTTAATAATTTAATACATAATTTTTAGTTTTTATTAAAGAAAAGTGGCTATAAAATTAATTTGTTACAATTTTTATTTGGTAGTTTTTTTTTATAGACGAATTTATATGTGTTCGAATTATTTTTTGACAGAATTTCCATTAAACCGATTTTCTATATTACAGAATTTTTATACAATTGAAAATTTATTTAACATAATTTCTATTTGGGCGAATTTTAATTTACCTTAACTTTCATTTTCTCGAATAAACATTTCGGCGCTAATTTGTAAAATTAACCAAAATCAGAAATTACCCATAACATTTGAATTGGTTAATTTTAAAATTCGCACCGAAATGTTTATTCGAACAAATGAAAGTTTTGTCAAATAAAAATTAGATCAAAAATAAATTCTGTTAAATGAATTTTTGGTTGTTTAAAAATTTTTTAATACCTATATAGAAAATCGGTTAAATGCAAAATCCTATCAAAAAATAATTCGAACAAATAAAAATTCAGTTAAAAGAAAATTCTATCTAATGAAATTGTATCAATTAAAAATTCTAATAAATTAATTTTAAGCATTATACATCTCTGAAATGAACTGAAATATTTTCTTGTCAAAAATTTTCTGGACACCCTAAAAAAAAAAAAAAACTCACCTGGAACTTTGAATTTTTCACTTTTTTTGAAATAAGGCAATACTTCATTATATGACCAGCCCTCATTTCCCATTTGTGACCATAAATCATAATCCAATTTATTTCCTCTTGTGTGAATCATATAATTCAATGTACTTGTACCGCCGAGTGATTTTCCTCTTGGCCATGGACATTGCTTATTATTCATGCCCAAGCATGCGTTATTTTGTGGTTCAACTTTATAACCCCAATTGTAGTCGGTCAATTGAAAATAACTGACCAATAGTGGAATTTGATTAAGTACACCCTCGGGATTTCCAGCTTCCAATAAGAGTATTCGCCATTTTTTGTTTTCGGAGAGTCTATTGGCAATTACAGAACCACCTGATCCAGCTCCTACCACAATAAAATCATATTTGCCCGTTACATTTGAGACAATTTTATTTGTTATTTGTTTAGAGCTGTTGAGTAGATCAAAAATAGTTTGTCCTTTTGTTAACGATCCAATCATGAGAAGTTGAATAAAAAGTAATAATACTGGAGAAAGCATCTTTCTGAAATTAATATTTATATATGATAAATAAATTATTTAGGACCAGTTTCACTAACTCCGGTTAAAAATTAATTATAGCGATTAAAACCAATTTAACCGCTCATAATTGGTCGGTTATAGAGATTTAATTGCTAATTAACTTTTAGCCGGAGTTAATGAAACTGGCCCTTTTAATGATTCGGATTTAATTGAATAATTAAATTTACAATGTAATAACATTGATTTTAAGCTCAGGAATGTTAAAAAATAATTTATTAGTTTAAAGGATGTTGGAGAATTGACATTTGATTATTGTTCACAATTTTGACAATTCATCAGTAGGTCGTCGGTCAGTAATTTATGTGTAACACGATAGTAACTTTCGGTACTAATAAATTAATTTCGTTGCAGGCTCCGGTACAACAACGAAAGCAATTAGTAATGGACCCTTTAAATTTTGTTAAAATATACAACTTTTAGGCCAAATATTTCGCCTTCATTTCGAAATATTATAAAATGAACAAAAGAAAAAGTAAACGTTCATAATTTGATAATGTGCTCTTGCCATTTCATTTTTGACAAAATCGTGAGTATTTTCTGCATAAAATGATAACACCGTCCGACACAATTCGGAAACTAGGACCCCAAAAAAAATACCCGTATCTGGCCGTTTTGCTAAATCAAGTCGTTTGTCGTTTTTAGGAGTGAAAACAATCCCTAAATGAAAAGTGTCAAGATATCTTTTAAAAATTATTAATATTTTATAAAACTTGGTATCTGGGGGTTTTCGGGGTCACTGATTATTAATCTGATGTCAGATTTTCAAAATTCAAAATGGCGGATCCAATATGGCGATTAAATTTTTAAAAAGTTATTAATTTTTTATTTTATATCTGCCATTTTGAATTTGAATCACTTTTTAATTATCGAATTGCATATTGTCTTTGATTTTCTGTTATTTTCATTTTCAAATTAAATAGTGAAATGGTCTCCGCAATTGTACTATTACCAAAATATCTGAAAAAAATTCGTTTAATTTTGAGTCGATTCAATTCGGTCATGATTGATATAAATTGATTAAATTTTTTGCATCAAAAAATGAGACCGTTTCGTGTATCATTTCTAAAAATGATACACAAAACGATCTCTTTTTGATATAACTTATGTGCATCAAAACATTGCAAAGATTTGATGCAATTTTTGGTCTCAATTTGATACTTTTAGGAAAACTCAAATTTTAATTTATCCAAATTTCAGGGAATTTCAGAAAATTCCATTCAAAGTCAGGGAAATTTCTGTAAATTTCTTCAAAAATTAAAATTTTTTGTGAATTTAAAAATTTTTAAATCTAAAAAAACTTGAATGGTTTTTATTAACATTTGTTACTACCGTTAGGTATTAATATATTGTTAAATTAGTCAGTAACCATATTTTTGTCCAAAAAAAAAGCAGAAATAAGGTTATTAAAAAGTCAGGGAAAAATCAAAAAATGTCAGGGAAAAGTCAGGGAATTTTTTTCTCAATCTTTGTTAGACACCTTGATTTCAAGTGATACAACTTTCAATCAATTCTAAATTTTATTGGTAAAAACAAAAAATTCATTTAAATTTCAATTTTTGCCCATATTTTAATTGTCTTGAAATGAGATTTATCTATATGTTAATTGATTTAAGTTTCAAATTATCTAAATTTTAATTTATCTAAATTTTAATTGACTTAAGTTTCAATTATTTAAATTTTATTTATTTATTCATTTAACGCATTTTTTTTTTATTTAAGTATCAAATTATCCGAATATTAATTTGTCCAAATTTTAATTAACTTGAATTATGAATTATATAAATTTTTAATTGGATTTAATTTTTGATCTGATTTTCAAATTTAATTAAATTTAATATTAAACTATCCAAATTTCAATTAGTATAAATTTTAATTGACATAAATATTAAATTATCCAAATTTTTAATTGATATAAATTTGAAATTTTAATTGACTTAAAATATACATTATCCAAATTTTAATTTATCTAAATTTTAATTGATTTAAGTTTTTCTAACTTCAAAAGATTATTAGATTTTTATGACAATTCATTAAATTTTATAAAAACAATTTGTCAGGACAATTCTAATTTCAAAAAAATGTCAAGGAAATGAAAAAATTTATTCTTGTGGCAAGGCTGAAATAAATATTTATTTGAAATATAAATTTTAGAAATGAATTTTTTTTTTATCTAAAACAAATAATTTAATATTTCTCTCGAAGACAAATATATCTTTATTAAAATTCAAATACATTATAATATATATACATTTTAATCGAATACAAAATTTCTCCTTGTTATATTATAAGAAACGATTTTATTTTTAAAGATTAAATGAAACTTGTTTTGCTGACTCTCTGATCCAATAACTTCAAAATTAAGTATGTGATATAACCGATAAATTTTTCCATTATACATTCTTAATTCAATAATATTGTAAAAAGTTTCCTTATTCCTGAGGAAATGATCTCTTATATATAATTTTGTACCGAAAGTGGTTTTGTTAATTGAAATAAATTTCTGGACGTGAATTATTTTTATTTTTTAAATGTAATTATTTTAATGAGACAAAAGTTTTGAACAATTAAATGAACGAAATTTGTTTTGCAACTTGTTAAAGTACGAATTTTATTACAAAATATTGTTTTAAATATCTAAAAAGAAGTTATTAATTTAATAATTGTTAAATTTACTGTTTTATTTTACATTGCCATCATAATTTTTAATAATTTTTAGATTAAAAAAAATATTTTGTTCATTTGAACGTTCAGAACTTTTGGCTCATTTATTTTAACAGGTTTTATACAGTTTATTGAACTTGCACTACAACACATTTTAATGTGTAAATTATAGTTTTATTTCAATTCATCGATTCCCAAAGAGAAATTTTTTATTTTCGAACCAAATACCAATGTATTTTAATTAAATGAAAATATATTTGTCTCAGATATAAATAATATTATTTTTTATTTGAACCAAATAACATTTTTTTGAAACATATACAATTTTTTTGATACATAAAATTTATTTGAAACAAATAAATTTTGTTAAAACGAATAAACTTTCTTTGAAATAATTTTTGTTTTAAATAATTATTTATTGAACTCTGAGAGAAATATTATTTTTCTGAGTGTAGTTGCATTATTTTATTCATTTATTCTTGTTGCGTTGTTTTAATCGATTTTAGTTCCTTTTTTAGAAATTAATTTGTTATTATCTTTAATTAGGAAGAATTTTTCTTAAATAAATTAGTAGCTATATTTTTGTATTTTCTTCTTCAATACTAAAGTAATTTCCCTAATATTCCTATATACATATACATTTGCGCTCATATTAGGAGGGTCTTCTCTTGGTTTCAGCACATATATAAAGCCTTTATACCCCTATTGACCCTAATATAGAAAAACATGCATAGTCAGTGTTTTAAACTGACCATCAAGTGTAGTATAAACATTTATCTTTTATTTTTAAATTCAACCCGAATTATACTTACAAAAAAAATTTTTTTTAAAAATGTTTGGTATTTAAATTAAAATTTAGTTACCTATTATCAAATAAATAATAATTTATAAATTTTAGGATTATGTTACATATATGTTCTGAAATTTAAAAAATTATAAGTTGAGAAAAAACTTTAATAAGGAGAATTTTAAGTTAATTTATAAAATTGATTTACAACTTTATTTTGAAACTTTTTAAAACGAATATCGGCAGTACTTCATTTTTATTTAAATGGTGGAAGAATTAAATTAAATTTTTTATTAACTTTTCTTATTTATTTAAAGTAAAATGTTGTAAATAGAAGTGTATTCATCAAAGACGAACTTTATTAGCCCGAAATTATCACGCAGTCAAATTGTTTTTTTTTTTCTAAAATAGGGTAGTTTTTGGACTCAGTGTGTGTTTTTAAAAATTAAGTTGTTGCTGATTTTATTAGCAAGAAAAAAGCCCAAAATTATTAGGCAGTCAAATTTGCGTTAAAAGTATTTTTTTTCGCCATTGACATGAAAAAGTGTCTTTTTTGTGCCTGTTTTGGGCAGATAAAGTAGCACTTTTTAAGGCAGTTTGGGCCAACTGCCTAAAAAAGACTTTTTTAGGCAGCAAACTGCCGTATAAAGTCTTTTTTAGGCAGTAAACTGCCCTATAAAGTCTTTTTTAGGCAGTTGTTAATTTTTGCATAATTTTTTTTTTTGCTTTTATTTTATTTATCAATTTTTATTATTTTTTTTCTTTAAAATTGTTTCACTTTTTCATAACAATGGCGAAAAAAATAGCGTATGTGGCTCGCACGTAGTAATTTTTAGGTTCGGATGATTTCAATACTCGCTGTCTGTGCGACTTCGGTTCGACTCGGCTCGCTTTCGGCTCGACTCGACTCGCCTTCGGCTCGTCTTCATCTCACCTACAGCTCGCCTTCGTCTCACCTACGTCGCACTAACGACAGCTCGTACTGAAAATTACATCCTCACCTAAAAAGTACTACTTTACGTGCTTGCCACATAATATACTATTTTTTATAAAATGGGATAGTTTTAGGACTTAGGATAAGATTTAAAAAAATAACTTGTTGTTGATTTTAATAGCAGGAAAATAGCCCGAAATTATTACGCGCAGTCAAATTTGAGTTAGAAATTTTTTTTATAAAGTGAGGTAGTTTTTTTGGACTCAGGGTGTGATTTAAAAAAAAAGAAGTTGTTGTTGATTTTATAAGCAGGAAAATAGCCCGAAATTATAGTGCATTCGATTTTGTGTTAGAAGAATTTTTACTAATGAGGGTTGTTTTTGGATTGAGTGGGTGGTTTTTGGAAAAATTTTGTAGATGATTTTGAGAGCCCATAAATAGTCCAAAATTATGGTACAATCGAAATTTTTTAGTTTTGTAATTTTCTATAGTGGAGGTGCTAACTGTATTTTCATTTAGTACCTCCACTAAAAAATTGATTTTTTGAAAAAAGTAAGGGAGCAGAAAAAGTAATTCTTGCATCTAAACAATAGCGCCACCATAAGTTGTGCTCATGGCGAATAAGAAAAATTTTGCAAATTTTATTAATGTTTTTTTTTTTTTTTTTTAATAATAATAAATAAATATTTTATTATAATATGTCACAGAAAATTGTGAGATATTAAAATAAAATGCAAATCTCTTATTTTAATTTAAATTTGCCATTAAAATAAAAGCGTTGAATCTTATTTTAATAACTCACAATTTTTCTGTGATTTATTTTTATAATAATCAAATATTTAATGATAATAAAATTACATCATAGAGTCTCTACTAATAATTAAATTGCACTTTAGCAATAATTGTATAATTAATTAATTAACAATATAGTTACAATTATCTACAAAAAAAGTGAGGTTTTATTTTATCTCATTATTAGAATTAGAAAAATTTGTATATGATTAATTTACGATTTTTTTTTAAATACAATTACTATTTTTAATCTTTTACTACAATTTAATTGACAATCGTAATTTATTTTTGCTACTGATGAGATAAATCCTTCTAAACTCTTTTATATCCTTTCTATTTGCAATACATGTTAGTCCAGATTTTACTCGTTTTACGACTTGTTATGTGTTAATTTTTCCATTTATTATTTAGTTACATAAAAGGTAGTTATATAAAAATAAACAAATGTCCAGGATGTATGTGTAAAATGTGTTTGGGATTTTCCATTCTATTGGTATCTTAAATAATTGACCCTTACATCGAATCTCGCAAAAATATGAAAAAAAGACAGTTATTAATATATAATTCAACGTAGATGATATATAATAAATTTTTTAATATACAATTCTATATATATATAGGGTGGCGAGAGATTTAGGAAAAGGTGGAAATTAGGAAAAAGTTCACCGAATTTTAATGATTAGGGAAAACCAGAAATTTAAAAAAATCCTTAAAAATGTCATCAGAAAATTTTTTCCAATTATTTTTATATTAATATTAGAAATAATTTTGGAATTTTATAGGCTCATAGGATCCAAATGAAATTAATGTAAATTGTTCGCACTAATAATAATAATTAATATTATTAATATTATATTTTTAATATTTATCATTAAATAAAAAATATTATTTATTTCATATTAATACTATATTATCATTTATCAAAAAAAAAAAAAAAAAATCAAATTTCAAAAATTTATTAACGAGAATTTAAATAATTTACAAATTTGTCTAACTGGAAAAATAGAAAATTAGTCAGAAGAAATGTTATAGTGAAAATAAAAATTTTCGACCACTCTCTAAATTCTGCATTTTTTTAAACTTTTTAAAGCAAAAATAATTTAGAGTTATGTGAATGTTTTGTGCAATTTGTAACTCTTTTTTTTTTTTTTTTTTTTTAAATAAATACAAAAACAATTTGGAAATTGTGTTCAGTTTGAATAAAAGCCAAAACGCGTATACAATGATGTAATGATTGTCTGTTTCACAGAAAGTCGATTGTACGTAAAAATAAATATTTAATTAGATTGAATAGTGTGTTTTGTAAAACCGAGTATATTTATTATTCTTTGACATCATACAATTTTTTTTTTTTTTGTAAATAATATTTTCAATATTTACAAGGAAAAGATATAAAATTTACTAAAATCGAAAACATGAGAGAAAAATGTGTGTTTTTTTTAATTGTATTTTATAAAAAAAAAAAAAAATAATCATTGATTTTAAATAACAAAAAAGAAAAATATTTTTTTTCTCTAAATTTGAATTATATTGAGAATTCGTTCACTAATTCAAATTAGTAGAAATGTTCATTAATTTTTAGTAAAATATTACTATTTCATTTAGTAATATTTTTTTAACCAAAATTTTAGTGAAAAATGACTAAAAATTAGTAAAAAAAAATTTCACTAATTTAAATTAGTGAACAAATTCTCACTAATTCAAATTTAGAAAGTAAATCATTTTTCAACTCATTTATTGATAAATATAATTTTTATTTATTTATTTTTTTGTCAGAAATTTCCTTTGAATGTAAAATTAAATTTAAAAAATGAAAATTGTAAATTAAAATAAAATTAGAATTTAACAATAATTATTAATTCAAAAGAAATAAAACATTTAAATTTAATAAAACAAAATAATAAATAAATTAAATTGCATACATAAGCCTTGGTTGAATATGGATTTTCAATCCTGTAGCAGACAATGTTTTTGTTTATCATTGATGACACTTTGAACACTCACCACGTGGTTTCAAACTCTTATTTACCCGCACTGTTTATAAAGCACTTTAATTGTGTTATCGTGGAAAATGATCAATTGTGTAATGTTTTTCTTTTTTTTTTTTTTTTTTTTAATGAGTTACATTTTAATCGATAATTTTGTTATCGATTTCGATAATTAAGTTAGATAAACTTTGACAGACTTGCAACTTTGTACAACTCTATAATGTGGTTTTATGGTATATACTTACTCGGAGAATTTTATATACACGGCAAAATGTAATGAGCTGGTCTCTGGTTCGAGATCCACGAGAGAAATGCGCTTTCTCAAGAGATGCTCACGTAATATGTAAGTCCTAGAGCCCAATCTTTTGTCACCCTTCCCTCTATTTTTTTGATTTTGATCTTGATTAGCAAGATTTGTATCTCTATATATATGATGCAAAAGTTTTGAACGTTCAAATGAACAAAAAAAAAATTTTTTTGTTTTTTAAAATATTCAATTGGAAAACCTTTAAGTTGACCTACAAAGACGATATCAATCATAAAAACAAAAAAAAATTAATATTAGGGGTGATAAACCACCCCTAAGTAATAATTGATAGAAAACATAAGAGAATTAGACCCTTACGTAATAACTTTTTGGGTTCAAAAGTATATAAAAAAATTTGTTTTTTTACCCTGAACAACCACCATGTATTTAGACCCTTCGGACCCTCCCCTAAAAGCCACCCCCTCTTGGTAAAAAATCAAAAAGTCCATTTTCGACCCTTACGTAATAACTTTTTGGGTTCAAAAGTATATAAAAAAATTTGTTTTTTAACCCTGAACAACCACCATGTATTTAGACCCTTCGGACCCTCCCCTAAAAGCCACCCCCTCTTATTAAAAAATCAAAAAGTCCATTTTCGACCCTTACGTAATAACTTTTTGGGCTCCAAACTAGCTAAAAAAAGTTGTTTTTTTACCCTGAACAACCACCATGTATTTAGACCCTTCGGACCCTCCCCTAAAAGCCACCCCCTCTTGGTAAAAAATCAAAAAGTCCATTTTCGACCCTTACGTAATAACTTTTTGGGCTCCAAACTAGCTCAAAAAATTTGTTTTTTTACCCTAAACAACCACCATGTATTTAGACCCTTCGGACCCTCCCCTAAAAGCCACCCCCTCTTGGTAAAAAAACAAAAAGTCCATTTTCGACCCTTACGTAATAACTTTTTGGGCTCCAAACTAGCTCAAAAAATTTGTTTTTTTACCCTAAACAACCACCATGTATTTAGACCCTTCGGACCCTCCCCTAAAAGCCACCCCCTCTTGGTAAAAAATCAAAAAGTCCATTTTCGACCCTTACGTAATAACTTTTTGGGCTCCAAACTAGCTAAAAAAATTTGTTTTTTTAACCTGAACAACCACCATGTATTTAGACCCTTCGGACCCTCCCCTAAAAGCCACCCCCTCTTGGTAAAAAATCAAAAAGTCCATTTTCGACCCTTACGTAATAACTTTTTGGGCTCAAAACTAGCTAAAAAAAGTTGTTTTTTTACCCTGAACAACCACCATGTATTTAGACCCTTCGGACCCTCCCCTAAAAGCCACCCCCTCTTGGTAAAAAATCAAAAAGTCCATTTTCGACCCTTACGTAATAACTTTTTGGGCTCCAAACTAGCTAAAAAAATTTGTTTTTTTACCCTGAACAACCACCATGTATTTAGACCCTTCGGACCCTCCCCTAAAAGCCACCCCCTCTTATTAAAAAATCAAAAAGTCCATTTTCGACCCTTACGTAATAACTTTTTGGGCTCCAAACTAGCTAAAAAAAGTTGTTTTTTTACCCTGAACAACCACCATGTATTTAGACCCTTCGGACCCTCCCCTAAAAGCCACCCCCTCTTGGTAAAAAATCAAAAAGTCCATTTTCGACCCTTACGTAATAACTTTTTGGGTTCAAAAGGATATAAAAAAATTTGTTTTTTTACCCTAAACAACCACCATGTATTTAGACCCTTCGGACCCTCCCCTAAAAGCCACCCCCTCTTGGTAAAAAATCAAAAAGTCCATTTTCGACCCTTACGTAATAACTTTTTGGGCTCCAAACTAGCTAAAAAAATTTGTTTTTTTACCCTAAACAACCACCATGTATTTAGACCCTTCGGACCCTCCCCTAAAAGCCACCCCCTCTTGGTAAAAAATCAAAAAGTCCATTTTCGACCCTTACGTAATAACTTTTTGGGTTCAAAAGTATATAAAAAAATTTGTTTTTTTACCCTGAACAACCACCATGTATTTAGACCCTTCGGACCCTCCCCTAAAAGCCACCCCCTCTTGGTAAAAAATCAAAAAGTCCATTTTCGACCCTTACGTAATAACTTTTTGGGCTCCAAACTAGCTAAAAAAATTGTTTTTTTACCCTAAACAACCACCATGTATTTAGACCCTTCGGACCCTCCCCTAAAAGCCACCCCCTCTTGGTAAAAAATCAAAAAGTTCATTTTCGACTTTTACGTAATAACTTTTTGGGCTCCAAACTAGCTCAAAAAATTTGTTTTTTTATTCTAAACAACCACCATGTATTTAGACCCTTCGGACCCTCCCCTAAAAGCCACCCCCTCTTGGTAAAAAAACAAAAAGTCCATTTTCGACCCTTACGTAATAACTTTTTGGGCTCCAAACTAGCTCAAAAAATTTGTTTTTTTACCCTGAACAACCACCATGTATTTAGACCCTTCGGACCCTCCCCTAAAAGCCACCCCCTCTTATTAAAAAATCAAAAAGTCCATTTTCGACCCTTACGTAATAACTTTTTGGGCTCCAAACTAGCTAAAAAAAGTTGTTTTTTTACCCTGAACAACCACCATGTATTTAGACCCTTCGGACCCTCCCCTAAAAGCCACCCCCTCTTGGTAAAAAATCAAAAAGTCCATTTTCGACCCTTACGTAATAACTTTTTGGGTTCAAAAGGATATAAAAAAATTTGTTTTTTTACCCTAAACAACCACCATGTATTTAGACCCTTCGGACCCTCCCCTAAAAGCCACCCCCTCTTGGTAAAAAATCAAAAAGTCCATTTTCGACCCTTACGTAATAACTTTTTGGGCTCCAAACTAGCTAAAAAAATTTGTTTTTTTACCCTAAACAACCACCATGTATTTAGACCCTTCGGACCCTCCCCTAAAAGCCACCCCCTCTTGGTAAAAAATCAAAAAGTCCATTTTCGACCCTTACGTAATAACTTTTTGGGTTCAAAAGTATATAAAAAAATTTGTTTTTTTACCCTGAACAACCACCATGTATTTAGACCCTTCGGACCCTCCCCTAAAAGCCACCCCCTCTTGGTAAAAAATCAAAAAGTCCATTTTCGACCCTTACGTAATAACTTTTTGTGCTCCAAACTAGCTAAAAAAAGTTGTTTTTTTACCCTGAACAACCACCATGTATTTAGACCTTTCGGACCCTCCCCTAAAAGCCACCCCCTCTTATTAAAAAATCAAAAAGTCCATTTTCGACCCTTACGTAATAACTTTTTGGGCTCCAAACTAGCTAAAAAAAGTTGTTTTTTTACCCTAAACAACCACCATGTATTTAGACCCTTCGGACCCTCCCCTAAAAGCCACCCCCTCTTGGTAAAAAATCAAAAAGTCCATTTTCGACCCTTACGTAATAACTTTTTGGGTTCAAAAGTATATAAAAAAATTTGTTTTTTTACCCTGAACAACCACCATGTATTTAGACCCTTCGGACCCTCCCCTAAAAGCCACCCCCTCTTGGTAAAAAATCAAAAAGTCCATTTTCGACCCTTACGTAATAACTTTTTGTGCTCCAAACTAGCTAAAAAAAGTTGTTTTTTTACCCTGAACAACCACCATGTATTTAGACCTTTCGGACCCTCCCCTAAAAGCCACCCCCTCTTATTAAAAAATCAAAAAGTCCATTTTCGACCCTTACGTAATAACTTTTTGGGCTCCAAACTAGCTAAAAAAAGTTGTTTTTTTACCCTGAACAACCACCATGTATTTAGACCCTTCGAACCCTCCCCTAAAAGCCACCCCCTCTTGGTAAAAAATCAAAAAGTCCATTTTCGACCCTTACGTAATAACTTTTTGGGTTCAAAAGTATATAAAAAAATTTGTTTTTTTACCCTAAACAACCACCATGTATTTAGACCCTTCGGACCCTCCCCTAAAAGCCACCCCCTCTTGGTAAAAAATCAAAAAGTCCATTTTCGACCCTTACGTAATAACTTTTTGGGCTCCAAACTAGCTAAAAAAATTTGTTTTTTTACCCTAAACAACCACCATGTATTTAGACCCTTCGGACCCTCCCCTAAAAGCCACCCCCTCTTGGTAAAAAATCAAAAAGTCCATTTTCGACCCTTACGTAATAACTTTTTGTGCTCCAAACTAGCTCAAAAAATTTGTTTTTTTACCCTAAACAAGCACCATGTATTTAGACCCTTCGGACCCTCCCCTAAAAGCCACCCCCTCTTGGTAAAAAATCAAAAAGTCCATTTTCGACCCTTACGTAATAACTTTTTGGGTTCAAAAGTATATAAAAAAATTTGTTTTTTTACCCTGAACAACCACCATGTATTTAGACCCTTCGGACCCTCCCCTAAAAGCCACCCCCTCTTGGTAAAAAATCAAAAAGTCCATTTTCGACCCTTACGTAATAACTTTTTGGGCTCCAAACTAGCTAAAAAAATTGTTTTTTTACCCTAAACAACCACCATGTATTTAGACCCTTCGGACCCTCCCCTAAAAGCCACCCCCTCTTGGTAAAAAATCAAAAAGTTCATTTTCGACTTTTACGTAATAACTTTTTGGGCTCCAAACTAGCTAAAAAAAGTTGTTTTTTTACCCTGAACAACCACCATGTATTTAGACCCTTCGGACCCTCCCCTAAAAGCCACCCCCTCTTGGTAAAAAATCAAAAAGTCCATTTTCGACCCTTACGTAATAACTTTTTGGGCTCCAAACTAGCTAAAAAAATTTGTTTTTTTACCCTGAACAACCACCATGTATTTAGACCCTTCGGACCCTCCCCTAAAAGCCACCCCCTCTTATTAAAAAATCAAAAAGTC